CTCTATACATTCAACACTTTGAGAATCAATAAATGACTCTATACATTCAGCACTTTGAGAATCAATAAATGACTCTATACATTCAGCACTTTGAGAATCAATAAATGACTCTATACATTCAACACTTTGAGAATCAATAAATGACTCTATACATTCAACACTTTGAGAATCAATAAATGACTCTATACATTCAACACTTTGAGAATCAATAAATGACTCTTTACATCCAATGCTTTGATAAGTGCCCCTCTGTCTCTCTCATCTTCCTGCAGCAGTGATGTGCCCAAATGTAGGCCCGCACTGGTCTCTTTTCAGCGTGAGCTCCATGGTTGGGTAGACGCTTGTCCGATATAGCCATTCGTACTCGGGGTTTTTTTTCTGAGTTAGTCCCTGTACGGATAGGGTGAAACCAATTCCATAAACGTTTCAGTTTTATGATGGGGGGGTTAGAGGAATGCGTGTGGCCGTTAGTTTGAGTCTAGCAGAAGCACGGAATTTGAATGCTATTTTTTGCTGTATGATTGGTGGATTATTTAATTCGTGCTCATTTTGGAACTCTGATGTTCTTTTAGTTGTAGTAAGGTTTTACGGCGCTCGCAACTGCACAAGGTGATATGAGCGCCAAGGGGTGGATGTCAACAGAAAAGTCCTTACAGGGAATCAGGCTTACTCTGCTTACCTCTCTAGCCTCAACAGCACAAAGTCTGCGTCGACTATCAAGGCATCCCGGAAATAGCAGTTCACAAGAGAGTGACAAACATACAAAAGAAGTAGAGGAAAAATGACGATAGTGAGGGTGAGGAAAGGAAAAGCAGCAGTTCCCCCGATGTTGTTCCGCCTCAGTATGGGCATGACATTGATAAATCAGCCCATTTACAATTCTACTTTCCTTATGAACATGTTAGTACCCCCCCCCCCTTTGGGAAAGCCCTAAAGACAACTTGAGTCAGTAGTACTACCCTTTTGGGGGGGGGGGGGGCTCCTTGGGAAAAGTCACTTTACACGTAGTAATTGTGTTGATAATTGATATGGGTGTTAAACCGAAACCAGTTTCATGTCAGTTTTCTGATGGGTTTAGAGGAGCACGTGTGGCCGTTAGTGAGTCCAGTACAAGCACGGAATTCTAGTTCTATTTCTTGCTATACGGGTGATGGTTTACATGAATTTCATGTGTGCACGTTTTGGAACTTCGACTTTCTACTCCGGCGAGATGACGCAAATATAATTCATCGGACAAGTGTGTAGTTTCTCAAGCCTACCTAGAGCCGCCAGAGCTGAGACCTTTGCTGGCCTGTGTTGGGTGCAACTCTTTTTGGGGTTGTTGTTGTTGTTTTGTGTTGTTTTTTTTTTTTAATTTTTTGTAGTTCTCGTTTACTAATGCTTCTTGGTCTTATAAATCTTTTGTTTTTCTTGTCTGTTGCTTTAGTGCGAGTTTTGGACGCTGCTGGTGATAAATGTTTGACTTTGCAGGCTGGCAGTTTTTGTCATGCGTTGTTAAGCGCAAAAGTAATGCACATTGTTGATTTCTTCCATCTTGTGTTAGCCATTTTGTGTGTGATGCTTTGGTCACTTGGTGATTGTGCTGATGCTGAAGAATTTGAAAAGTTTACTCTGTTTATATCATCATCCACCTTTGAGCTTCTTTTACCGTTGGCTAGAACAAAATATGCTTTTGATACCGATGTATCAAATCTTCCACGGCCCCTAAAAGTAATGATAATGATAGGCCCAATAATGCTACAGTGCAGACCCGCTATAACGACATCGCCGGGACCAGAAAAAAAAGTCGTTATAGAGAGGCAACCAAAGATATTACTAATGATATATAAGGGCAAACGAGGCAGGGGTAGGCCCAGAACAAACTACTTAGGGAACCTAAACAAATGGGTAACATGGAAAGATCAGGGAAACAGCTTTTTTTTTTGAGCATCCGAGCAAAGGAATGAATGGAGAACCATGATGGCCGATGTCTGTCACAGATCTGGCACTGGATGAATGAATGGAGAACCATGATCGCCGATGTCTGTCACAGATCTGGCACTGGATGAATGAATGGAGAACCATGATCGCCGATGTCTGTCTCAGATCTGGCACTGGGTGAATGAATGGAGAACCATGATCGCCGATGTCTGTCTCAGATCTGGCACTGGGTGATGATGAGGATATAAGGGGAACAAATCAGGACCTGGGCACCATGTCGCTATACAGAGGATGTCGTTATATCGAAGGTCGTTATACAGAGGATGTCGGTATATCGAAGGTCGTTATACAGAGGATGTCGGTATATCGAAGGTCGCTATACAGAGGATGTCGGTATATCGAAGGTCGCTATACAGAGGATGTCGTTATATCGAAGGTCGCTATACAGAGGATGTCGGTATATCGAAGGTCGCTATACAAAGGATGTCGCTATATCGAAGGTCGTTATACAGAGGATGTCGTATATCGAAGGTCGCTATACAGAGGATGTCGCTATATCGAAGGTCGTTATACAGAGGATGTCGGTATATCGAAGGTCGCTATACAGAGGATGTCGGTATATCGAAGGTCGCTATACAGAGGATGTCGGTATATCGAAGGTCGCTATACAGAGGATGTCGGTATATCGAAGGTCGCTATACAAAGGATGTCGCTATATCGAAGGTCGTTATACAGAGGATGTCGTATATCGAAGGTCGCTATACAGAGGATGTCGCTATATCGAAGGTCGTTATACAGAGGATGTCGGTATATCGAAGGTCGCTATACAGAGGATGTCGCTATATCGAAGGTTGTTATACAGAGGATGTCGGTATATCGAAGGTCGCTATACAGAGGATGTCGGTATATCGAAGGTCGCTATACAGAGGATGTCGGTATATCGGAGGTCGCTATACAGAGGATGTCGGTATATCGAAGGTCGCTATACAGAGGATGTCGGTATATCGAAGGTCGCTATACAGAGGATGTCGGTATATCGAAGGTCGCTATACAGAGGATGTCGGTATATCGAAGGTCGCTATACAGAGGATGTCAGTATATCGAAGGTCGCTATACAGAGGATGTCGGTATATCGAAGGTCGCTATACAGAGGATGTCGGTATATCGAAGGTCGCTATACAGAGGATGTCGGTATATCGAAGGTCGCTATACAGAGGATGTCGGTATATCGGAGGTCGCTATACAGAGGATGTCGGTATATCGAAGGTCGCTATACAGAGGATGTCGTTATATCGAAGGTCGTTATAGAGAGGCTGCACTGTACTAGTACTAATAATTTAATGATGCTAACGACTATAACCACGAGGATACTACTTTAAAAGCTTTTTTCTTGTTTATTGATAACTTTGCAGAGTGCCTCGTGTACTCTGTCATTGAGTACCTGGTATTTCCTCCGTGTGCGCCTACTTGGTCGCTTTTAAGCACAAGGGGGATATCCCGACAAATGCTGTTCATAGCAAATAGAAGTTAAAAGTTTTTGCCCCTTGTTCAGTTGTTGTTTTTTTAAACAAGGAGAGTTTTCTTTCTAACCAAACAAATGGTCGCTTTTTAGGACAAGCGGGCTAACCCAGATTTCGGGAATTTCCAGAAATCTTGACCTACGCCAAAAGTGGGCATTGCCCTACCTATAGGAGAAGTTTGGTTTCTTTGGTGTGTATATTTGTTTGTTTATAGAGAAAACTCTCCTTGTCTATTTAAAAAAATGAACAAGGGGCAAAAATTTCACCTTCGATTTTCTCAAAACAGCATTTTTCAGGATAGCCCCCTTTTGCTTAAAGCGACCAAATATACACACCAATGAAAAACCAAACTTCTCCTATAGGTAGGGCAATGCCCACTTTTGGTGTAGGTCAAGATTTCTGGAAACTCCCGAAATCTGGGCCACCCCGCTTGTCCTTTTTGTGCTCCTCCTAATTATGCTGTTTGTGTCTGTTTTCTCTCTCCCCCCTGTGCCCCCCGCCCTGTGTAGTCATTGTAAAAGAAGGCGGAGTTCCTGTCGCCGATGTGGCCCCTGAGTACAGGCGAGGTGCTGAACTTTGTCGTTGTTTTCTTCGTCCTAGCATGTCGTAGCCAGTAACTGTACGCACCATACTATTGTTAAAATATTTCACAGTGCATGAAACAATCTCACAGTATAAGCAAATGTAATGCTAGAGGTGCAGAAGAACCCGTTGCAGACTTGGGCTTACATGTGCTTTCTGGAAGAATGCTTTCATCCCCTCTTCTACCATTACTAAAAGATA